AGCCCAGACACACTGCACTTCCCAACAGGCAAAGCCCCTTACTTGATCAAATACACCCTTGTTTGGATCTAAATGAATCACTGTCTGCTGGCACCTGCAGACTCTGTTGGCTAGACCTCTGCATTGAAGTTGAAGGCAGCTGCAGTTATCTGCTTAGATTTGCAACTACATTCAAGCCATAAAATGCTGTGGAGGATGGGAAGCCCTGTGCTCTGTAGCTGCATTGTGGGTGATGCTGCTAAAGATTCTGCCTTTGCAACTAAACTGAAATTAATGCAAACTCAGCTGGACCTGAGAGCTCAGAAACACGTGGCCAAATTTAAAAGGTTATAGCCGGCTGAAATACTTAATTTCTGAGCTTCTAATATCCACAGGATTGCAGAACTTCAGAAGTGGGAGTTTCAACCTTCTTGCAGGTTTCATTAACATTTCCAATTAGGGATTTAAGGCAAAATGTTCTGCAGTCTTAGATAAAGGATCTTGCAGCATATCCGGTACAGAATTATTAATAAGTTCAGACAAAGCATGCCTTTATTTTGCTGAAAAATATGCTTTGAAGCAGTAAAGGAATAGCATACTTTTTTTCTCTCTCTTCTTTTTTTAAATTTCCTAGAGGAAATTAAAAGGATTCTGAGAAAAATAACCCAAGGTCCTGCAGACAGGAATCTGCTTACATAATGCCTAGAGCTGATGCATCCAATGTGCTGAATGAAAGGCACATCTCCTGATAGAAGGAGGTTAAACTCCTGTTCAGGATGGGCAGCTGGGCTCTTGCTGCTGTGTAGGAATGAGCTGCTGTCCCCAAACCTCACTTTGCACAGCAACACCTTGAGTCTAGCTGAGCCTGTTCAATGGGAAAGTTTGCTGACAACTCAGAACAGCAGAGGCTGTAACTAATCAAAAGCATAATGATTTGGCAGATTTCCTATATAGAGACAAAAAAAGGAGGAGTTTTACATATTCATGCTTCTTTAAAAAAAATTAAGCCAAACAGGTACCAAAGGTGTTCCTACTTGCTGTTTTGAAGTGTAATTGGATGCAATTTCTGAGGCATTATGCAGCCACTAGGAGCCCAGTGTTCCTTCAGAATCACATCATTATAGGATCTTGCCCGTGAAATTTATTCACTCACCTTTGTGCCCTTCTGTGCTGCTGATGCTGTCTGACAGTTTGCTTGTAGAGATTTGTGTGGAGGTTTAAACAGGGAACCTGTGTAAGTCAACAAAGGAAATGTTAATTTTTGATGGAGAATATTGATTTAAAGCCTTGATGCTGATGAGATTCCTGCCAGCTTTTCTGATCCGTATTGTCAGAATTTTGCTTGTAACATGTCTAAAACAATTTGGTAGCTGTTTTCAGTAAAACTTATATGCAAGTAATACTAATGAAATAACTAGATTATGGTCTCTTGTAGGAAAATGTTGGAGATCAAAATGTACAGCATATTGCAAGTTTATATGCATTATACATATAAAAAGACAATTTTAATGTGTGGCAGAGACAAGTCTTGTCTTCTTAGCACTAATCCAGGCTATAAAACAACACTGAGCTTCTTGAAGGATCAGCAGAGGTTGGTTTTAGGTTTTTGCAAGTAGCCAGTGAAATACATGCTTCTTTTTCTTACCTTTTGAGGTGAAAGAAAGAGAAGAGAAAGGAGAGATTGCAGTGCTGGATCCCCTGGTTGTTCATGTCAGTGACAGGACTTTAAGTCTATATAATGGTAACTGGACTGGGTTGTTGGACAAACCCTGTTTTCCAAAAGGCAGTAGGTTTTGTAATGCTTAAATTGGACAGACTGGAATTTAAGACTATGGAAAACAAGCCCTTTCTCTTCTAGTCCCTTCTAATATATGGCAGGGAACAGTACAAAACAGAAAAGTGTTAAAATATTTGAATTGCTTCTAGAGACTCATATCATGCCCGGCCAAACATTGTTGCTGTGTAAGAAATACTCAATTTACTGAGTTCTGATCTTGATCTGATGGTCATTATGCAGTACAGGCAACATGGTCACATCAGAATATGTTTTCCAGCATCACATGAATAATTTGGGAATCAGAGTTTTGTGCAGTCAAGTTGTAAAATGAATAGTAAGAAAACAAGAGTGGAAAAACAGAATAAAAGCTTCATGTGAACAGTTAGTGTAATCAAGGTCACATATCAGGGGAGCTAAGTTTAGCCTCAAGAAACCTTGATCCCCTTTTGTTTTCTAAAAATGAAAGCAGTTCTTTGTCCTCTGTACCTGGATTCATTCAGCTGTTCTTGAATTGGTCTGATTTTGTCTGGGTCCATCCTCCCTTTTTACCACTTTGGTAAACAATCAGTAATTCTGGCTCTCTCGTTGTGTTGGGTTTTTTTTAAATCTTCTGCAAGTAGATAACTTGTGGTCTAGAGATGAACACACCATTGCTACACTCATTATGCTGAATATCAGACAGAACATGTGCTGGGCAGCCAAGTGCTTGTCTGAAAGTGACCTGATCTGCATCCATATCAGCATGTGAGAGCAAACAAGGACAGCACCCTGTCCTGAGCATGGGAGGAATGGAGCTAGTGATTTTTCTTGAACTCTTCTTCAACTTGTGCATCTTGGCAGCTTTGTGCCTCTCAGCAAACTGACTGTCCTTCTCCATTAGTGCAAGGCAGAAATACTGAACCAACGTGGTAGACCCAAGTCTGACAGAAGTGTAAAACACTTTTGTCCACAGTGGCCGCCTGGTACTGTGGGCATGTGCAGATGTCTGCAAGTGGTTGCATTCCTGTCACTTTGAAGAGGTATTGGTCATTAGCTGATCTGTGTTAACTGATGGTCTGCATGCTCCTAGTTCATTGCAAATGCAGAGTATAGCTGCTTTGGAAACGATCCAAACGTTTTACTTTCCAGCTGCAGAGGGCTGGAAGCATCCACACTGGCAGTGGGCTTGGTTCATCTGATGAGCTGTCATGTGCTCTGCCACACAAACTCAGTAGCCTGCCATTATCTCAGGGTCTCCTTCATTTAGCAGGAACCATTAATTGATTTTGTTTCTAATAAAATTGTAAAGAGACAGCTCCTCATTGAACTGTGCTTCTTTTTTAAATAGCAGATGAAACGAAGTCATCTGAAGTATTCTCATCAGGCTGTAGAATGGACCAAAGCATCCCAGATGGTGACAATGTCTCATCTTCCCCACCTACTGACTTCACCCAGAACGAAGTAGATGAGCGTAATCACAGGTATGATTTATCCAGATGAGTACCTAAAGGTAGAAGAGGTGTCTGAGGGGACTTACTAGCTAATTCCATGCTGCTGTAAAGACAATATGAAGTAATTTGATGTATGATGTAGTCTGGTCTGAGACAGCTGTGGTGGTGCTTGCCAAACAAAATACCCTTAGCTGTGCCAGAGGCAGCTGTTCAATTTTGAGGCATCTGGTCCAGAACGGGAGAAGTATCAAGCCAGACATCATTAATGAACTTCACATGTATGCACAGCACAGCCTTCTGCAAATAAAACTTCCTGATTGCTTCTTTAAATGACTTGACTGTAACCCATGAAAAATCATTAGTAAAGGAATACCTAGGACTGTGGGAACAGGGCAAGAATTAATTTGCAAAGGGAAGAAAAATTAAGCATAAATTCAGAGTGTTGAAACATACTGAGCTGATAGCATTGCTGACCTGATGTACCCACTAGACAGGTATAGCAAGGGAGACAATATTGAGAGTTCTCCCAGCAAAAGGTTTCAACTCTTCTTTGAAACAATTTCTGTCAAAAGAAGAGGAAAGATTTTCCTTTCTCCTGTTCATACCTTGAGCGCTCTGTGAAGCCTTTGTCCTATGTAGGACTGTGATGTTGTATCTTGGATGAGAATTAGGAATTCATTAGCAATTGGGCCAGGGTCTACTGAAGTTTTTCAGGGCCTGCATGTGCCCTTCAGACATTAACAGCTTTTTCCTATAGCTAATTTGATTGGGCCAAGTTTTAAACAGTGAGTGCAGAGAAATTTTAAAAGCAAGTACATTCCAGAAGTAAAACACAGAATGGGTGGAGATGTGTTGAAGGAGAGGTTTTACTAACTCTTTATGGATCTGATTTTTCAGAAGTGCTTAGTTATTTGTGTCAGTTACAGCTCTAGCACTTCTGAAAACTGGAGTCTCTGCTTAGAGCTTTGTTTCCTTCTGGCTTACAGATGCTGTGTGTGGTTTTGGGGGGTTTGGTGTGGTTTTGTTGTTTTGTTTTTTCCCAGTTGTGCTGTTTAAGTGGTGAGATCTAAGAAATTATAAATTGTCAACAAATTATCACTGTTCTACCCTTGTCCCAGCATTACTGCTTTTATTTCTGTTGCCTGTCCAAACAGTAGCTAAGGACATACTGCAAATACAGATGGACTGTGAGAATTTCATGGCCAAATTGCTTTCTTTGTGTTGGAGAGAATGACTGTTTTGTAGGCTTTGGCTTGCAAGAAGTCATAAATTTGCAGCATCTTGCCCCCCACCTTGGTGAGAGGCTTTGCTTCTCTACAGCCATAATCTATTATTAAAAAGACGTGTCCTCAGTCATCTTTACTTTTTCTCCATAAATGTATGTCTAAATCTCAGTAATAGATGGATCATTAATTGAAGGCACAGGTGCAGCATCCTGCAGAAGAAGATAATATCTCTTCATGACATGCTTCCTTAGCATGTGTACATAATTTATCTTTACAGACACAGGTTCCAGTTACGGATGTGGGAATGTAGCCATTCACACTCCAAGTGAACACGGGGTTTCCTATGTCAAAGGACTTCTGTTAATATGTTGGTGTTGCAATAGCTAGACCTGCCTTTTCATTCTTGGAAGCATACTTTTATCTTGTTTTCTAAACAGAGTGAGTAAGTTGCTGCTTTGGTCATAGTTTTGACCAACTGTGAGACACATCTCCTTCCTACTAGGCAAATTCCAAGACCTTCCTAGAAGAGATAGGTATGAGAAGGGGAGGGGTGAATTGTGGTGGTGAAGTGGCCACGTCTATTTCCCCTCTTCCTTAGCAATAAATTGGCAATGTAACTGCACAGAGATTGGTGAAATTACACTAAATCCATGTGAGAGAAGAACAGGGCCCTAGTAGTGACATATCTATTGCAGCTGGTTTATTTCTACAGGCATAAATGATTGTTTGAGCTTATGTGTGTCAGGCTGGAGCTGCCCCTGCATTGCTCTTCCCTGCTGCATTTTGATCATGTGAGAATACAGATCTGTTGTGCTAATCATGGATAAATTTGTAATAGGCTTGAGTTTACAATTGTGGTGGCTAGCTGGCCCTAGTAGTGACATATCTATTGCAGCTGGTTTATTTCTACAGGCATAAATGATTGTTTGAGCTTATGTGTGTCAGGCTGGAGCTGCCCCTGCATTGCTCTTCCCTGCTGCATTTTGATCATGTGAGAATACAGATCTGTTGTGCTAATCATGGATAAATTTGTAATAGGCTTGAGTTTACAATTGTGGTGGCTAGCTGGAAAAGTCCTTTTTTTTTTTTTTTTTTTTTTTTATTGTGACTGTGTCCAGTATCATCATCACAGAGAGCTTAAACTTTGCAGGGCCTTCCTAGGTCTCTAGTGGTCTTGCTTTTCTGATAGTCCGGTAACAATTGCCAGAAGTCCAGATATATTTCTCTTGGAGAAAATGGTCTAACTTCTCTGTTATGTTCAAGTTCTGTCACGTCTCCTGGTTGATTATTCTGATCCCAGTGTCAGTTTGTTGTGCACCTTTTTAGAGACAGTTATTTCCATTTTCCAAGTAAACCGTTTTCTTTCTTCTCATTTTAAATGTAGGTTTCTCTGTGATTTTGTTGTGAGTTTGTGTTTTTGTTATGGTTTTGTTGTTGGGTTTGGTTTTTTTTTGTTCTAGCACTTGCCTGCAAATTACCACACCTTTTAGTAAATGACTCCTTTACCAAATACTAAGGAACATTTTCCCACAGTAAATTGCCCTGCTTCTTTATTCATCTCATCAAGTTTTAAAGAATCCCAAACAGCGGTTTTCTGTGTTATTCTGAGGATTATTTCTTTTCTGTGATCTTGGTCTATTTATTGATATTGTAAAAAGATGAAGTGGTTCTGTGACACCTGAGCACATGGAGACAGATCTGCTCTGCATCCTCTCCGAAGAACAGCAGGGTGGTTTTTTTTCAACCTAATAGTTTTCTACCACCTTATTTTTTATAATCCTTTCCTGAAGAGTCTGCAAAGATGTGAGCCATTGTGTACCTGTCTGTGGGCTAGTGACACTGGTGGCATTGCTTTGCTTTGTCTCCAAAGGGCCTGTAGTCCAGCTGCCTGGGTTACTGCAGTCAAACTCTGTGAACTTTGTTGATAGCTTTGTTGATAAAAATTATTTTTAGTCTATGGGAATACAGGTCCAGGGTTTTGCTATCTATTGCTGAATAAGGGGGGGGGGGGGGGGGGGGGGGAAAGCTCATTTATGGCTCAAAAATTTCTGTGGGGCTGTTAGATTTTCCTTTTTTATGTGCTTTAGCTTATAGTACACATAAGATTGCTATGAAGAGCACTGATGAATTGAAAGCCCAGCTCTTGAACCAAAATTAATAAAATGGCAAAAAAAAAGCAATAACAATGAGATGGTTTTGTGAAGAGATATATTTAAATACATCTGTGATCCACAGCTTGGGATTTTATCTAGCCAATCTTTCCTTTTTTGCTGGGATGTGTCTGCTGCCATCTGCCACCTCCTTCTTTGAAATGAGAAATGCGTGATACTTGTAATACTCAGAGATAGGCAGACCAGTTAGCACGTCTCTGTCCTTAGTAGTTTGATTATACATATGTAAAATACAGACAATGGCTGCTATTTAAAATACAAAAGAAACACTTGCTCAGATCTCCCTGCAATGTGAAGCAGGGGTATGGAAGGGCTAATCATCACTGACTCAGCAGCATTCCCAGGGGAGGAAGGGAGATTAAATGTCTTGAAAATCCTCCTAATCACCCTTTCTGATGGTCACAAAGGGTTCTTTTGATGGAGCTAAGAACTCGGGAACTTTCCATTTTAATTGCCAGTCTTTAGATGCCACCTTTTTAAAGTATTATGAGCTTTTTAATGTAGCTGTTATTTCAGTTTAACCTTTTAAGAGAAAACTGATTCAGTACAGCAAACATGAATATAGATTCAGAATTATTTTAGAGACTTGCTATTCCTTGGTAGCATCCAGTTTTGTACCTGGGAAGGAACATGCAGATGCTGGGAGCAGGGAAGGACAGTGCATCCTCACACAGTCAAGGGGGACATTTTAAAGAATTGTATTCTTGCAGCACATACAGACTGTGAAATAGCAGCAGCTGGTTTATGTTCTTGGTGTGAACAAGGAACCTGTGTGCCTAGAGAATTTATTTCATAGATGCCATCACAGCTTTTGGCTCTTCTGACAAAGCCTTCAGGGAATTCTACAAATCTTATCGCAGCTGGGAGCCAGGGAGGCTGCCTGTGTCTGCCAGCATTGTCACCCATTCCTGGGAGAATTGTCTGTGCCCTAAAAGCATGGATTCCTGTGCTGTAGTATGTCTATAGGGTTTTTTGCACCTCAGACTGCATCTCTGTGTGTATGATAAATACAATGGAAAGCAGTTAAGGATCTTCTACGTGTTTGCAGGGGACTAAGCTGAACCTGTTGTGCAAAGAACCAGGTTTGACAGGTTCGATGGAGCCAGGTTTAGAGCCTGTGTGCTGAGTACATGCCCCAGGGCAGTACCTGTGGTGCCATGTTCTTTTCCATTTGCAGTCTCCCTGAATTTCCAGCAGTCCACCCCACTGTCACAGCACATAGTGCAGGTTTCACTTGGTTGCAGACTTACTATGCATACTGATTTCTCTGTGCGTTGCTAACCCTTTCCATCTCCCCCCACAGCGAGTTTCTCTATGCCTTCACTAGCAAACCCAAGATCCCTCGCACTCCTGAACCTCAGAATGCCAGTCCTGGAAAGGAAAAGGTCCCAGCCACTGCCTCCCAGTGCTCTCGGTCTGGACCCAAACAAACAAGCCTTCCCAGCTCCTCAGGATCATCCACAAGCAGCAAACGGAGTAAGTGGAAAAAGTAATAATTCTATTTGTCAGTTCTTGGGGTGAGGAAGGAGGGGGCACTGTAGTAGCTCTCCAGGAATGAAGTCGTAGGCTACAAACATGCCAGGAGTATATGACATTGTACTTGTCATCTGCAGGATGTACAACCACGTGTCATGTGAGCAGTTAAGAGACATGCTTTTTCCTGTCTCTGTGTGGAGAAAGGTGCCCCAAATTATCAGAATTTTATGGGGAAGCCTCTAGTTTCATACTTTCTCTAGATGTCATCAGACCATTTCCTTTCCTTTAGACACTGGTTCATTCTGTTGTGGGACTTGTTTAATGTTCTTGAATTTGGATTCCTGGGTGTGTCTACACTGCAACTCAATGTAGACCAGATGTCAGCCAGTTCAAGAAGATGGGCTCAGGACAGCCAAGCATGGTGTGCTGCTTGTGGCAGTCATGCTGCTGGAAACTTGTATTTAAACACCATATATGTATGTGTCGTTGCCTGAAGAAGCATAAGTGGGACTAGGTTGCAGTGGACTCAGAAGAGAGGAGGGCATGGTTCTGAGGTTAGAGGGAAAAGATGGATGCTTGGTTTAAACCAGGCAATGCAAGCCCAGTAAAGTGGAAATGTTGATCTTAAATGCTTGCACAACAGTAAACGTGTGTATGGTGTGTAAACTATGGGGATTTTTGGGACTGAGGCGAAAGAAAGATGCATTCTTTAGTAACAAGTTAACGTTTTCTCTGGAGTATTGATAGGAGCAGCTGAATTGAAATCCACCCCTGACGCCAGCATCCATGAAAATGCCAGGAGCTGTGTGCTGCATGTTCTTATTCCAAACACATCGTGACAAGTTTAGTGATGATTATCTGATCACAATGGAACATTAGCTCTACTCTTTAGCTGTAACTGTTACCTTTAAACTTCCCAAAGACGTGATAGGTTATAATACTTTGTAAACCTTCATAGGAAATTTGACGTACATGTATATTATTAGCTTCTCATTACAGGTAGGGAAAATGGTATGCAGGGAACTGAAGTAATCTAGTAAATCAGCAAGAGAGCTGGAAAGAGCTTCCCAAGTCTTCTGTGTTGCTCACTCACTGGTTTTCCACACAGTTGTATGTGCAGGGAGTACAGGTGAGGCAAGGGAAGGGAGTGTCCTTGGTGGCTAAGGGAGGTGCTGACCCAGAGAGACTTGCTTGAGCAATCCTGTGCTTAGGTGATAACTGCTAGCTCTTTCAGCTTTATTTCTGCTGCATATGCCCTGTGTTTTACCTCTGACATCCGTGCTTTCTGTTTCCTGCGATCAGGAGCATTGTTCTGCCCTGACTGAATGTGGGGTTAACACCTGAGAGTCTGTCCCTGGTTCCTGTTTCGGGTCACTTACAAAAGCAGTCGCCCACTGAAAAGAGCAGCTCTGCAGAAGGGAAAAGCACTGTGTGTGTGTTTGCACAAAAATTCCTCTGCATATTCTAGTTTCTCCAGGGCAGCTTTATGCTCCTGGGTGTGTGTTCTGTGAAAGACATAACATACACGTGTTGCTGCCCTAGGGCTCTGGAATTAAGATCCTTTTCCAGTGGCACAGTATAATATATAGTATATCTTATTTTGAAGTTACATTCAAGCAGAACATTCTACATCACTTGGGTTTCTCTGTTGATTCAGGATGTGTAATTTCTAAGTCCAGACTCTTGGGCTTTTATGAGTTTTATTGGATAGTAGTTGTCTTACTTTAGATACCTCTTACCTTTGCTGTGTCTGTGCATTCTAAAACAATGTAAGCTTATTTTGTGTCTGTTTACCTTTTATCCAGAGTTTCTAATGAAGTTTCAGGTAACTCTTTTCTATCATAGCAAGAGACTATGTCCCAGTGGAAGATTGTCTTTAGTTTTTTTTATTTCTTGGCATTGCTGGAGAAATACAGGTTTTTATGGCTGATAGGCATGATGAGAAAAAGATGAGTTTCTGATTGCTCTTACTTGATGTGCTCAGTTATTTGAGAGACACATTGTTTAGCTTGCTTTTAATATTTATTATAGGTATATTTTCTGGAAATAAGTTGTTTTTACATAAACCCAGTTGAAATAGCTGGACTGCTCCTCTTAGAGCAGGAGTGTGTGGAATGCCTGAGGAATGCAGAAGAAGCATAGGTACTTAGTGCAGCTACAGGCCTGGGGCCAAATTCCTCCCTGAGCTGTAGCCCGGGGCTGTTAGCTGAGCTGTAGAGCTGCACCTTAAAGCAAAACCGAGCTCCTCCAAAAAACACCAGCCATGCTGGGGTTTTTTCCCTGGATTCCACTTCCCAGCTGGTGCAGGGATGACACTGGCTTCTCTGCATGGGCACAACTCAAGCTGTTTGCAGTGTTCCAAGCGCTGTCTAGGGCACAGCGGAGCTAGAGCAGCACAAAAATCCCTACCAGAAGAATGAGGAATTAATTATTGTCAGGAGTGTGACTGGGCCCTACTGACTCCCTGCTCCTCCACAAGTTCTTCCAGTGTCCTGACAAGTGGTTGCCATAAGTGCATTCTGTGTTTTTAAGTTGCGACATCAGTGGTTAAGGTGCCTTTGTGCATGTTCTTTGTGGTGTTTATGTTACTGTACACGTTGAACAAGTGTTGCACTCAGGCAGCTCCTGTTTTGTAATAAATCCTGCTTTCAGCTGACAGACCCTTTCTTGCTGTTTTTCTGCAGGCAGGCAGTCCAACAGGAAGTGAGAACAGTTCCTTTCCTCGAGAGTCACCTGTCCGTTGTTGAAGGACAGAGCCAGCTTCCTGTAATGAAGCTTCACTGGTGACCTCCTGAGAAGAGAGTGAGATCACTGACATTGCACGGTGTACACTTTGCACGGGGATTCAAGAATTATCTGATGGGATGCAGGTGTTGTCATCTCTAAAGCTGGCTAAGACAAGGGCCCCGTTATTACAATTTTAGGTCTGCCTGGAGCAGCCTTGTGTGGAGTGAGATCTGTTTAGTCACCAGAGACTGGAGAGAAAAAATTTCATCAACTTGAGGCTGACTTGTGGCAGGTGAAAAACTGGCAGTGCCCACAGCAGCACCCATGCTCAGCTCTAAGGATCTGATCACCACTTTATCTGCAGCAATTATTTCTATTCTTTCTTCCTATCTTTGTTTTGTTTGGTTTGGTTTGGTTGTTTGTTTGTTTTTTCTTAATTTTGCTCTTTAAAATTTGGGGCATGAATAATAGTATTTTTTCCATTTGAATGAAGAACTTGTTCTTCATTCATAGGAGAAACCAGGAGAATATGAAACAGTTTTCTTTTTACATGTGGCTGTGGACAGTCTTCTTTGGTCTGTGTTGTTTTTTTATGTTCTTCACTTCTGAGTAGTGACTGATTATGTCTTTATGGTGTTGATCTTCAGTGACTATGAAGTGCTGGCTAGGCAAGAGATATGGGAAGCCCTCTGCTAAATAAAAACAGAGCAGTTAATTCTCTCAGTGAATTATGAAGCTAGTGCTGATTGTCCTTTCTATCAAAAGTAACAGTGACCAGGAAACACTAAAGTCTTCACTGGAGATTGACTTTATAGTAACATCCCCTCATGTGATGCAGCTGTTAGGACAACAGCAGCAACTTTTCCAGAAATGCAATTTATCTTGGAACTTGGCTGAGGCAAAAAAGCAGGGAGTATTTGCCGTAGGCAGACTTCAAAAGGAAATGCTTTAGCAGATACAAAAAGGGAGAAGGTAAAGTGTTTGTTTGGGAGTTTCACCTTGAGAAACAAACAAGTGGAAAGCAACTCCATGGTGACACCACCTTCCCACAGAGTAAACAGTTTTTACATAAAACCACCAGTCATTTCCATAGGGCCAGAAAAAAGCTTTCTGCTTGTGCTGAGACCTTGAATTGTACCCCTTGGTGTGTGGTGGCAACTGAAGAGCCAAGGCCAATTCCTCGTGTAATGTAGTTGCCATGAAACCCACCGAGATCAGTGATGCTGTGTCAGATGTTTGCAGAAAGGGCTCCCATACACAAGGTCAGGTAACACCTTTGGATACTACACTTTAAATTGAAACCAGGATGTTTTGTAGGGGAAGGCATCTGCCAGTTTAAAGTTCAGTTGCATCACGTGGAAGTTGCCATTTACTGCTCAGTAACTTCAGGTGTCCAAGCAGGCAGAGCATGGGTCTTGCTTTACCTCTCCAACGACATAGGATATAAAGTGATACAAGACACTTCATAACCCCTGTCACATAGATCTCCATGTGCTAGACAAAAAAAGCCCAGAGTATCTCTGACTTACACTTAGATTCATCCACCTCCTCTCAGAGTCGATAAACACAATTAATGGAAAAATGTCCTCGGGTTCACAAAAAGGCAGTAATGGAAAACAGCCATAAAAACTCACCTAGTGGTTTTCCAGGGTAGGCAGCTTTTATTTTTCCTCTGAAATGCTGTCTTTTTTCCAGCACGTCGTATCAATGGCCAGGTTGTTAGCACTGAAGTGCCAAGCATGTTCATTTGCATATGTGGGTACCACAGACTGCTTCAGCAGCTTTATTTATTTTACAGCAATGCTGAGTTTCATGTTGGAGCTGATTTTCTAAGGTGCAGAGAAGCTTTTGAAAAATGCAGATTATATATATTCTTTTTTATTTTTATTTTGGGGGGGAGGGAAACCCCAGAATAAAACACCCCAAAAGCTTACTGGCTTTACCAGTAGTTGAGGTCACAATTGTACTACTCCTTAGAAGGCAGCTGAAGGAGGTGGGTAGGTGCCCTCCAGCAGATGAAAATTAGTGAAAGACAAAATACATCTTGCAGAACAAGACTGAAAGAAACAAGCTGCAGGGTTTGTGCTTCATTTCTTACTCAGGCCTATTGCAACGCAGAACTTTGTATGTACATTTTTGCATGTTCAGCTTTTGATGTTTTGGAGTGTGAGTATCAAAGCTGGAAAGCTGTGAGGCCATTTTTTATATATTGCTTGAGAAACTTCCAAATACTTGAGAGAAACTGTGGGTGATTTTCTAGGCTGACAAAGTAATGTGCCTTCTTTTTCTCTGGTTTGTTCACAACCCCCCCCCCCTTAGGATGCCAGTCAGAAGGTTTTGAAGCTAATGAAAAATGTGGATTCTGCCGTTGTTAGTAGGACACCACTGTTCAGGGTTGAAAGGATAGAGGCCAGTAACACACACATACCAAATTCGACACCTCACTCTTAAAAGTTAGGTATTTTTTGTATGTGCCATGTAGAGGCTGCTGCTAGATACAACACCACCCTGGTAAATTCATAACAGGAGCAGTGGAAATTGCTAACCTAAATGAGAGGTGTGTCATTGTACTTAAAAGTGGCTGTAATTTTGTTTACAATAAGCAAATACCATTAATGCATCTAGAAAGATCTGCAGGGGAAGGTTTTCTGGGGCCAAAGTGCTGTGTGGTGCTGCAATGCCTTTTGGATATAACTTCTAATTTTGTTCATGAATGGTGTCACGAGAGACACAAACTGCATAAGTCTATATAAATTTGCACAGAGGGCTCATTCTGTACAAGTACTTTGAAATTACCTGGCAGTGACTGGTTAAAAATGCTTCTAAAGGGATTTTTTTTTTCCTCTTTTTTCTCTCGTTCATAGTTTTGTTTGGGGTTTCATGAACCTTTTGGATGTGCATTTGTTTACATTTCACTCTGATTTATTGTAGAAAAATTCTGTCCCCAACAGTTTTGTCTCCACTGGGGTTGAAAACACAGCTCCCTTCTGTTCTGCCTCTGCAGAGGTAGCTTTGTTTTCTCAGAAGTGTTGCAAAGGAGGCACCAACCACTCATTGTTCGTGGTCTCTCATGAGGAGGCATGTGGGATGCCACCAGTAACATCAGTTTGGTGTCAGAAGTATTATTTGTTGGGAGGATTTAACTGTGTAGGGGAGGACAAGGAAGTAAGTTCTCTGGAGGAAAAATATTGCTATGATGGGGAGGGACAGTGTTTTTTTGGATTGGCTCCAACTTGTTTCCTTTTAAAAAAGTTCCAGAGGTCTTTATAAATCATGGTGGATGTTACAGCGTAAAGTGCTGCAGTGTGTTCATGCACATCTTTGAGTAGCAGTAGCTGACAAGTAAACAGGCTGCCTTCCTCCCAGGTAGTTAATTACATCCAGAGTTACTGTTTGGCTTGTGGCTTGAATTCATCTTTGAGCCAAAACTTCCTGGACCATCTTCACATGTGCTTGCTGTCTGGTTCAATATTGGAACAAGCCCTTTCCCAGGAGAGGAAATGTTGGAGAGCTGGGAGCAGGAGCACCTTCCTCAGTGAGTGTAATCCAACCAAGGGCTGTGTGAGCCCTGCAGGCCTCCTTGGACACACACCTGGCTGTGGTGTGTGGAGGACACAGAAGTGTGGGCATGGCTAGCAAAGAGGATATAGATGTAGCCTTACAAGCCTCCACTGACCCTGGTGGGAACTGAGCACCAAAATACCTCAGTAACTATGCCCTGTTGGCTGCTCCAGGCCATGCTGCATTTTCCTAACCTCTGCTACTCGTATAAATTGTAAAAGGAGTGGGACTCCTGAGATCTATTGTCAAGTGAGAAACAGCAAGATATTTCAAGGCAAACAAAACAGACTTTAAGACCAGACTGGTCTGGCCAAGCTGTATGGGAATCTGCTGCTAGCAGACCAACAAACCAACTTCTGGGTGCAGAACATAGAACATTGTCCTCTTGCCTTTTCAGACCAGTAATTCTTCTAGTCTGGCATCTTGTCAGTGGTTGAGATCTGGTGTTTCAAAGCAAGTTTTTTCCCAACTCCAGGCTGCTTTGTGCCCTGCAGTGGAAAGGCATTGTATTCAGGTACAGGATCATGATCCAAATTTCCGCTCTTTCAGGATCTGATGCTCTCCAAACAGACTGAGTGGCACACCCCAGGACATCTAATAACTCTCTGGAACATGTCCACGTTTTATTACAAGTTCTCTTAATAGTCCTTCGCATATGGTCCAAGTTTCCAAGAAACTAGTGCAGTCATTTATTATGGTGAAAGTGAAAATGCTTCACACAAATGGTGAGAATTCCAGGTGACACCTTTAAATGTTTGCTCTGTTCTTCTTCAAATATGGGAAATGCTGTTCTGATATGATTTTAAGTCCATGTGTTTGGGGAATGTGTGTTATTTTGGTCACTCTTGATCGTGAGTGACCTAAAACTGTATTTAATTTTAAAAATGGTTTTTTGTATGTTTTAAATTTTAAAAGTCTTTAAAGTAGTATTTAATTGTATTGGTTTTTCTTTGAGTGATGTTCAGAGCTAATAAACAGGACAGATAGAGAGGACAGGTTACCTGAAACAGTAACATTCATCCTGCAGATGTTTACGGTGCTTTATATATTAGACTGTAGCTGACAGCTGTGAATGCAGAAGGCATCTGAAAATCAGATCACCTAGTGAGGGTTTTCAGGAGGTGAAGACACCTCCCTCTGCTGCTCTCAAGGAAAAAATCAGCTTTTGTAGATCCAGATTTCATTAACAGACACATAGTCCTCCTTCTCTGAAGAGTGAAAAAGTTGAGCTAGCACGAGGATGGGATGTAAGTGCTGGAAATAGCAGCTCTGTGCCAAGTGATACAGTTCCTCATTTGGGCTGCCATGTGCCGGTCTGACTGCCCTGGCCCTTGTCTGGATCCGGTTGACTATTGGCAGAGGTTGAATGCTTCCTGAGAACAAATCACCCTATTGTTCAGGTCTGCTCATGCACTGCCT